CATTGAAGCTCAAATTTGAAATAGAGTAGATTGGGAGAATCATCTGACCCTACTAAACTACACTACTTCGAGTTTGTGCCCCGAAAATCGGCGCCGCAGTCGTACAAATCGTCACGAACTTTGCCGCGCGCATCCTCGGACGCACGTTCGTACCGTCCCCCGACATTCTGTAGTAAGGGACGTAGATGGGAATAGGTACTTCTGAACATTGTGTCGCGGGCGTTGAACAAGTGAGTGAGTGCAGCTGGATATGGACTTCGTGCGAAGGTCAGTAATAGACTGGGAGGTGTCGAGGCATTCTTTTGTGGGAGTTGGAAGTGGGAACGAAACTTACGAAAGTTGTTGTGGGATATGTGTGAACCGGCGTGGTGAAGTTAGATAGGATAGCGCCGGACTTCTCGGCTGGAGCCATAGTATTGAATATGCGTGTAGTGGAGGTGTGGAAGGGCATTTCAGGCGTCTTTCAAAAGCGATCGTCGCTAGGTGTTTTTTATTTTCCATTTTATATCTTTCTCATTTCTGAATCGGTTTTTTCACATTCCAATGCTGTTTGTTGGGACCGCATTTTGAAAGCTGCTCCCGCTCAAGTATAGAGTGCCATATACAACGGTTTACTACATCCCGCAAGAGTATCATGAGCAGGACGAGATTCGATATTTTCCTCGCCTTCCTATTTTCATCGCTAGACACATTTCCACTATTTGCCTGGCCCATTCATAATAATCGCTTTGGCTGTTAGCCGCACTTTCCACAATCTTGAATACATAGCTGTTTTAGTCTAGACCGAGAGCTGAAGGCCTTCGTTTCTATTGGTCTAGGTCAGGGTATTGGGGTTTCAGCTTTGTGTTCATTTCCTTACGGCTGCGTAAACTGGCGTCCCACTTTTTGTCATCAAAGTTCTTTTCTTTATGTTTAATGCTGCGAACCAGCGGCAGTGTTCTATCCGTCATAATTCCAAAAGGTTTTCTTCTGACACAGAAATTGGTACTTTGCAGACCGGTAGGGCGATTGAAGGAGGAACTGTGTGGTGGACAAGGGAAAAAGTTCGTCATCCAGTTTTCAGCGGATCGTCAGACTTTCCTGCTTTGCAAGTCAGACTTTTCTCCAGGAACGAGGTTGGTATGGGATAATTCCATCGTGGCAAAGCATCGGGCTACTCCCTACAAAAAATTCCGGCGAAGAGGATCTATTGACAGGTCTTCAGGTGCCTTACTTACCAGTTGAGGCTTTGTCGAGCATTGCATTAAGTTTTTCTGTAATCCATTTGTATAAAGCTCATTCGTCTCACTTAATTATCTTCATCTTTGAATAGATTACCTAAGGTTGAAACTTCAAGTACCTGACGAGGGATCCACCTAGAGAAATAATTGTACATGCAGTAATCATCCGGTTGAAAACCCATGCCAGTCAGGCTTTTGGCTCGAAGGCTCATCTCAAGGGGCGTCTAACTCATTAAGTAATAGAAGAATTCAGTATTCTTGGAATTGTCATTAATTAGCGTTGCTCCATTCAGGGTTAGTAATGCTCTGACAACGTTGGAACACCTTATAGTATAAGGGCGAATCCCAATGCTGCAGCAGCAGCAGCCTTAAGTGGTGGGCGTCCTCCCTTACCTGTGTTGCCAGTCATATCCTATTTGCAACCATCGACTCCATAAAGAATTAGCCAAGCGAGCCTTTCCAAAGACCTTCTTACGCCTTTTTGCGGTGGTGTTCAGACCGTCGACGCTATCTTTCCTCCAAGACCTCCGTCATTGTCAGTGGAAGTGGAAAAAGGCCGTTCACCCCTACCCACAGAGTTGGCCTCTATGCCTTTTGGGATTCGTTTTGAAGGGTTCACATACTCTTCAAGGAAAGATACTTGCTTAGGAAGCATGTTTGTTACCCTCCACCTCATCCGCTCATCGTCTATACAGCCTTTAATCGGCTTTCTTGAATATATAGCTAATTATTGGCAACGGTGAAGACACGGGGCGGAGCGCAAAGGAAGGAAGAGGAGGGGGGGAGGGGAAGGGGAGGGAGGAGGAATTCACTAGATTCTCGATTTTTCGGAAGGTTTTCAACTTATATCGTTCTTATCTGAAGACATGATAAATAACCCGAAAAGGAATTGTTCAAACGATTGATATCAGATTTGCAACAGCTCTCAGAAGGTAGGAAGGTAGAGCCCTGCTAGAGTCTCAAAAGACGGGCCACCCATACCTGAAAGTATATTCAGTTTGGAAAGCTTCACTTGCTATTCATAGATTTCCCATAGAAATTAGTAATGGAATCGGTTATGAGACTTCAGAAGATCACGATAGCCCTCGAGAAAGCGGAATGATCGATTAGGGAGAAGTATCAAATAGGTTTACGTCTGAATCCAGTTATTCCCAACATTGAAAGTCCCAGTATGCTTTCACTGAATGCCCCCTGATGCGGCCGATTTGCTTTTTCACTTCCTGTTCCCCTTTTTCTGTATAATCTTTCGTCTTTCTTGGTTGCAGCTCACGTTCCCCTCAGCCCTTTTTACGTTTTTCTGCTTTTTTTGAAAGTTGTATTAGCGAAGTTTTCATGGAATTCCTGCATAGATGGCACATCTTGAATCAATTTGAATTAATAGACAGTGAAAGTTTTTCCTAGTCGTTCGCATCCTACACAGGAAACCTTTCCCAGTCCTGCTATTTATTCCCCGTAGTGATGAGAACAGTCAAAAAACTTGTACAATACAACTACTGGACGGTGCGCAGCTCGTTAGCCATGAAACGCTCTGTATCTCGTTGTCTAGCGGAAAACTAAGTCGTTCCACTGCTTCGACCGAACGGCTGACGCAATCAAAGCAAATGAGCGCGATAAAAAACCATTTATGGGAAGACATATCCCTTGCGAAGCCTATTTCTCTCTTGAATCCTCACTGGATCCCTACGAATATTCAATCAGAAATGGGTAAAGGACTGATTGGAGAGCGTGGGTAGGCACTACCTGGGCCTTATCCCAGTCCTCCACTGAAGGAGCATCTCAGCAGAAAGAGCTCTCGGGAGATGATGAACTAGGAGTGAGGGAGGAACGAGGGCAGACGACTCAAACCGAAAGCAAAATCATGGGTCCCCAGAAAAAAAAAATTATG